TTCTGGATAGAAATTTCTGGGCGAATTAGGGAAGCAAAAGGAAAATCGGCGAGTAAGAGAAAAGATTATTGCAGCAAGAAAAGAAGATTATCGCAAAATTCGGAGAGAGTAAATTTTTTTGAGCAAGAAGACAAAGAGATAAAGACTAAGTAATAAAATCGGAAGGAAATATCAACAGTTTCCTAAAAAGACGCATGTCGAGATTTGCACAATCTCGCCGTCTGGCAAACATTTCGCTTTTCCCGCTTAAAGCAAAACTATAATAGGTCAGAATATTTAATAATTTATTCTGAGGAAGCGCCACGCGTCAAATCCATTTAAATCGGGCCGAGCTGGCCATCACGAAGAAACGCTGTTGACGAGCTAACGCTTATTGCGAGATCAAATCCGCTTAACTTCATGAAATCCGCCGACCTGATTTACAACCAGTCTCGCCGAACTGGGGGGGGGGGGGAGGGACTTACTGTTAGAGGGAAAATGAGCACATTTCCTAAAAGGCTTTCTCTGGCAATAACCTAAGCCCATCAAGACCAGGAGAACTGAGTCGACCTAGCTCGGATAAAAGAAAATCTCTTAAAGTAAAATCTTGAAGTCCGGAAGCATCGGATCAACTCAAAAGATAAAGGAGAATTTTCATATTCTTCGGAGAATAAAGGATATTTCTATATCGCGAATATGGAAATATTCACGAAAGAGAAAAAGAAAAAGTAGTTCGGAGCAACCGACCTCCTATCCATATAAATAAGAAGACCTCGAAGCTTAAGAGGACAACTCATACAATCTAGAGAGCAACATAGCTAAAACCAAAAACTCCTAACGCTTTCTGGTTTACTTCACACACACTTTCTTTTCAACGCCTTACATCTATCAATAAAAGATCTTATTTTCCGAAACCCATAACTGTTAATCAAATCCTTACACTCTCCAAAACAGGAACAGAACCACAAAGCTTATCCTCAAATTTCCATCTTATGTTTTCTGACTTCGGTAGTTAAATATTTCTTGCAGAAGAGAATATGCAAGGATGTTTCTCAAGCGAACAAGTTCTCGGTAAGATCTTTAAATCAACACTTTTGAGTAGCTAAAACCAATATTTTGATTAGTTTAAAGCCAATACTATCATCGATTTGGATATGTGACTTCACTTAGGGACGGTTCTATCCTCCTATTTGGTTGAGGTTAGAGATTGATATGTCCAAGACATGGAAAAGAGGATAAGAAGAATTTAAACACCATGGAAGAAGTAAGACAAATGAATTACATATGTGTCTTGGGCGTAAATACTTCTTATTTCTATGTAGGAATAAGTATATGTAGGGAGAAGAGAATAAAAAGTATTTACGTGTTAGTGTGTCTTGGGCGTAAATTTTTGCAGAAATTTATGTACGCTTTAAATTGTGTAATTGTGATCACTAAATCAGATATAAAAAGGTGAGAAGAAAGTAAACGTCTACGAATTAAGAAGCTTGAGCAGCAAAAAAAATAATATCCATCGTTGACTCGTAGAGAAATCTGATATGCTCACTAAATCAGATATAAAAAGGTGACGATGATGACAAGTGGAGAGAAGAAAGTAAACGTCTACGCATTAAGAAGCAAAAAAAATAATGTTCATCGTTGACTCGTTGAGAAACCTGATATGCTCTCTAGAACGAAAGGCTTTGGACACACATTGTCATCTCTTGAGAAGCTTGGTGTCGTCTACAAAGCAAACGAGCTTGGCTTCTCAGTTTCATCGAAAAAGTAGACACCAAGCTTTCACACTTGACTGCACTGCACCTAATGAGTGCAGTTGTAGCCATGGTAGTGATCTCGGATTTTTCAGATGGTTTCCACAGGTGCCCTTCCTCTGATTATGGCTGGAGCGTTCTCATGTGTCCAATTCGTGTCATTTGTATTAGTTGTAGGAGAAACATACTACGTGTGCTCACTGACTCACAATTCCTTCTCGTATTGGTCTTATCTCTTTTTTTTAATAGAGAAAATTGAATTTAGTCTTCACTATTTAAAGCTAATCATATCTATTACTAATAAAAGTTGATGTTAAATGCCTCTAAGGGTGTCCACATAGGATTTAAAGATTCAATTCTATTAGTACACATCATCATTATCTTTAGTTAATTATATATTATATATTAAATTAATTAATTTCGTTTTTAATTTTTAAAAAGAAAATTTCTGATTTTTAATTAATTTTGTTTTTGTTATTATTAAGAAATTTTCTAAATTTTAAATTAGTTATTAATAAAAAAAGTTAGAAAGTAGATCTTATTTTTCTATTTACAACAAAAAGTAATTTAATATATAAATAGATTATTAAGGAAAAATCATATATATTAAACAAAATAATTAAAAAAAATCTATTTAAGACCATCATTAAACTATTTCAAAATTTTAATTATGATAAACAATTATAATCTGAGCTACTAACTTAAAATATATTAGTTATGGTCCATGTTGATGTTTTATACTGATGAAAGCGTTCGCATAGAACATAGATACTCAATTTGATTGATCAAAATCAGCGTTTTTATTAAACATAAAAAATATTAAATACGATTAATAATTTAAATAAATTAAAAACACAAAATATAAATTATCATAGTATAATGGGAAGTTAATATAAATTATCATATATATTTCAAATGAGTAATTAATTTAACAAAATATTAAAGTTAAATTATTATATAAACATATAAAATTGTTATTTAAAACTATCAATACTACAAAAACAAATTCATATTAAATTAACAAAAAAAAAGTCATAAAAAATTTTGATATATAGCCTAATTATTTAGAAAATCAACACACAAATCTTAACTAACCAAAAAATAATATTTTATACTATTTACTGAAGATAAAAACATTTAACTAACAAAAAATAAAACAAAAATTATTTCTTATATCATGTCAATACAATTAAAATAAAAATTCATATCAAAAAGGTTAAATTAACAAAGAAAAAAAAGGAAATTAACTTGATATCTATGTTATTTATTTAACAAAATAAATATGAAGAAAATTAGTAAGAGAATAAAAAAACTTAAGTCATACTAAAAAAACTTAACTAACAAAAAAAGATAAATATTTAAGATACTTATTTAAAAATCAGTATTAAGAAATTAATTAATCAATAAATAAAACGAAAAAAATAATTTTTACACAATTTTATATTTAAAAAATTCATCTAAAAAGAAATTGACTTGATATATGACTAACTACTTAAGAAATCAATATAAACAAAATTTAACTAGCAAAATAACAAAAATTGAAATTATGTCTTCAAAAATATCAATATTTTGTGTTAAAATAAAATAGAAATCAGTATCAAGAGAGGTAAATTATCAAAAACAAAATTCGTATAAAGTAAAATTAGCTTGATATTTAGGTTAATATTTGGAAAATCAACATAAAAATATGAACTAAAAAAACAATGATGGTATAAGCTTTTGAGATAAGTCCACATAAAATTTAGAATATCGAGCTCTCTAGCTTCTGTCTTCAATCAACGCCAGAGTATTTCGAAGAAGAGCTTGTTCCCAACACGTTGAATCGCAAGATCCCATGAGTAAACCGATCTAGGAGCACACATGAGAGCAGCGAGGATCGCATCAGTGGCGAAAACAGTAGCTTTGTCTTCCTTAGCGAGACGCCTGATAACAAGATCGTTCTAGAAACGCTCGAGCCTACGTTCGGCTTTAGGAGTGATACGATCATAGGTACGATCGTAAGACTCGAGACCACCACAGAGGAGGAGATCTTCTGGCTCCTGAACTGTGAAGGAGAGCTTAGAGAAAGTGGAGAAAGGAATATTCTCGAGCATATTCCACTCGGGCTGGATATCGACGGATGACTTAAACGCGGCGGCTTCACGGCGTTGCTGGTGGATATTGTTCCGGTTGAGATTGTAGAGACGATCACGATGAGTTCGGTCTTTTTCAGCTTCATGTTTCTTAGCTTCGACTTCTTCGTCACGAGGCTGAGGGAGCTGGTTACGGTTGTGGTACTGATTGAATCTCCATTTAGGTCCGAACTTGGGACGAGGCGGTGGCTTACCGTCGACCAATCGGATAGAACATTGCTCCATCTTTAGAGAGAGAGAGAGAGAAACCGTGAAAATTATATTCCCAACTCGAGCAAGTCAGAGTTGTAGAGAACCAATGGCACTTGAAGGCTCTTTACTTGGATGTGAAGTAAACATGTATTAGCAGTCAAATATTCTTCTTCTTTTAATCATGGTTCTCTTTGCAGATCAAACTCAAACCTAGAAGAGTGACTGTGAAATTTGGAAAAGTTTTGCACATTCTCCGGATTTTTTTTTCGATTCATCAGCCAAATCAGCCCTCGAGTCTCTCGCTTTTTCTACTGGATCATTTCTCCCATGGGAAACCATAATCATTATTAACCATTCCCAATTCCAGTTGATATTTTGTCACACGCCAGTTTATTAAACCAACATGCGACTCATAGTGTTTAGAGTCTTGTGTAAATCTGATCTCAAAAATCGTAAGAAAACCACATTATAAGTCATTACCATTGATCATTTTTAAAAGTTTCAAATTTCCCATGACTTCTTGCTACACACGTTAACCTCATCCGAGCTTATTAAAAAATCCACAAGCGTGTGTCTAGTACTTTAAAGTTTTGTGTAAAAACATTTAAAAGCAGTAAAAATTGATATTCTTAAGAGAGGAAAAAAAATATTTCAAGTTTATAAAATACATTCGAATTTTTTAGGGGAAAAAAAAAACAGATACACATGCAAAGTTTCTGTAACTAAAAATAGTTCTTTCAATCGGAATCATGATCTATACATACACGCTTAAAAAAAACCCCAGTTATGCACAGACGTGTTCAAAGTTTGTCTAGATATCTTAATCATTGCCAATCGTATGTTTTTAACACAAGTTGTTAAAAGTAGATATAATTGGTGATATATAGAAGTTGTTCACATTATAGGGTCCATGATAAGGCTAATAAAGCTTGGACATTATTAACTAAGCTTGTCCCATATATGATACAGTTGCATATTTGAACAATAGCTGAGATGCTGTTGAAGCCCTAGGAATATCTTTCAACTTGTCCATGATCAAATCTTCAAGACCGAATCTCATAGAGATTGTCGCCGTCTTTAAAGACTTGGAGTTAGCGAGGATATAGGTCAACAACTCTTCCTCTTCTTCACTGTCTTCATAGCTTTCCCACTCAAATATTTCCAACTGTGACGACAAACATCCTGGAACAGACTTCGGTTTGTTCCATGAAAGTGGGAGATCCTTGGATTGATCACTATATTCCTGAGAAGCACCGAGAACACTGTATATTAAGCACATTCATTTTACTAGTTTATTTTTTTTTTAAACAATAATACTAAAAAAGGACCAGAAAAGTAGGGAGGACATGTACATAATCAACCATAAGCTTTCTTAGTTTTGGAGCATTTCCAAGTAAAAGCATAAGTGATTCCAACCAATCGGATTCTGCATGTATTTTTAACTGTATAAGTCGAGAGAAGTTGACGGCGCTACAACTCACAAGCTGCAATGAAACAAGCATAGCGTAAGTAGATGCAGCAACGTGAACGAACGAGAGAGGGAGAGAGAGAAAGTTACCATTTCAGCATTCAAATACAACTCAAGATAAAAGACAGAAGAAAGAGATGTTAAAATAACTCCATCATCTTGGAAAGCCACATAACCGATATCTGCAAACTCAAGACGAGGCATATTCTCGATCGAGTAAGAGGCTCCCGATATATCCATGACGGTCAAGTACATTAATGCCGGAGTCTCAATAACCAATGAGCTATGAATGTCGACTACTCCTTCAACATTACCATAAACAAAGAAGCATAAAGAAGGAACTTTCACAATGAACTTTTTCACATTGTCACCCTTCCGTCGTTCCACAAACAGAACCTTGAGAACAGGGCAGCTCGATAAAAACCTAGGGAGAGAATCATCGTCTTTGTACACCACAAAGTAAAGCCTGAGAGTTGTGAGGGATGTGAGACAAGAAGAAGAATTAGGGAAATCCACGAGAATCTTGTGGGAGAGAGTCAGTGTCACGAGAGACTTGCTTGAGTAAAGGCTGTTGGGCAATCTCGTTGGATCTGCGGACCACTCGAGCTTGAGTTCTAACTCAAGCACGAGGCGATCAACAGCGTTTGCTACACACTTTCCGACATCAGCATCAGTAGGACATCGTGAACCGAGTTCCACGCATAGGCTGTCTATTACAGGAGCCTTGTGGTGTTGCAATGACTTGTCAAGAAACCACCAAACGCTCTTTTTGCTTTCTCCCTCATCTTCCTTGTCTTTGTACTCAAGTGTAGGTACCATTGACCAAATAGAGAGCCACCGTTTCGACAGAAACATGGTGTCAACTGCTGTTTTTGTCGGGACATGACTCAATATCGATACGAGCAAATCTTCGGGCAACTTGCTAATCCTATCTTCGCAAACTGGCTCTTCAATTTTCGCTTCTTCCATCTTCTCGCCGCAAAACCTTGAAAGAAGAATTCGGCGTCGATAACAATGAAATAAAATCGTTCCTTATTAAACCTAATAACTAGATTTTGGACCCGGGTTATACTTTCTCTATATATATCGTCTAAAATTTAATACATTTTAATTTTAAAATACATAAAATTTTATTTATCTTTTATTGTATGTAATAATAATGATCTGAATTCTAGTGATGAAAGTAAACTTTAGTTTTTGGAGGAAAATCAACACTACCACAACTAGTGAGTCAATTTTCGAAAATATATTATACAGCCCTTGTTATTTTTATGTTTAATAGTCTCCATAGTCTTGTCTTTAACATCCCGTCTCCCACGCATCTTTAACAGTCTCCATAGTCTTCTCCCCAACATCCTGAAGATATTTAGCTTTCGACCACGGGAAAATAGTTCCTTAAACCCATAAGCCATATCCTCTGCTCTCTCCTTTGAGTACTCTGCATAATCCTTGGCTCTCTCTTTCTCGTAGGCGTTGTCAGCTGCCCTGCTGGCTTGCTCATCTACTTCACCCTGTGTTTCTTCTGCATAATCTTTTGTATCTTCTCTTTCATATCATAAGCTTTCTTCTTAGCGTTCTCTTTCGCCTCGTAGGCTTTATCAGCTGATTTGCTCGCTCCTTCATTCACTTTGTCCTTAGTTTCTTCTGCATAATCTCTCGTCTTCTCATATCATAAGCTTTGTCCTTGGCTTTGTCTTTGGCAGCTTCTGCGTATTCTCTTTGCTTTCTCTTTGCCAGCTTCTGCGTATTCTCCGGATTCTTCTCCCCATTTCTTCGAATCATAAGCCAAATCAACCCTCGAGTCTCTTATTAGATATAGAAACAATATCAGCATTGACGCCACAGATATCGCTCTCTATCTCTCTGTATCTTCATATTAACTTCTGTATATTCTTCATTCCTTTTATCGATAGCTCTCGTTGTATAAAGGTGATACAAGTCGATGTTAATAAAATCATTCAATCTCATACTTTAATATGGTATCAGAGCTCTAACGGGCAAATTCCCTAAATTTTCCCTAATTTTTCTTTTCTTCTCTTCTGTCTTCTCTAAGCTTTCCTTCTTTGCATTCTCTCACCGCCATGTTTTTTTTTCCGGCTACCATGTCTCACGAAGACAATTCTTCTGGTAACAACACTACTGTGTTCAACACCAACAATCCTTCTAGCCCTCTCATCTCAATCAACATGGCGAATATCACCAAATTGACAGATCTGAATTATGTCATGTGGAGTCGACAAATCCAAGCCCTTCTTGAAGGGTATGAGCTACATGAATTTCTTGATGACTCTGCCTCAACTCCTTCACCAACGATCACTACAGGTGGTCAAGTCACCACAAATCCCCTATTCGCACCCTGGCGTCGACAAGATAGGCTGTTATACAGCGCTCTAATAGGTGCTATTTCTCTTCCCGTGCAATCAGTCGTCTCCACAGCGACAACAACGGCGGAGATCTGGAATATTCTGGCCTCCACATTTGGCAAACCAACAAGAGGCCATATTCGTCAACTCAAATACCAAATCAAAACCAAAACGATCAGTGAATATCTTCGTCTCATCAAAGGGAAAGCCGATGATCTTGCCCTTCTTGGAAAGCCCATAGATCCAGAAGACCTGACAGAACAGATCCTTGCAGGCCTCACAGAAGACTATAAACCTGAAATTGATGCGGTAAATGGTAGAGATGCCCCAATCTCGTTTGCTGAACTTCATAAACGTCTGCTTAATCGAGAAGCTATGATTATGTGCAAAGATGAAGCTCCACCAGCTGCTCCAATTACAGCAAATGTGGCTGACACACGTCCTCGCCAACATCAGCAACATTGGAAATCCAACAACAGTCGCACTTACAACACGCCTCAGCACAATCACAACAATCGTACATCTCGTCCTTACTTGAGACGTTGTCAAGCATGTGGTACCCAGGGACACAGTGCCAAATATTGTCCGGAGTATCGCATCGTCCGTGGCTCTGCACCCAATCAGTCATATCCTACACGATCTTGGCAGCCGAGAGCAAATGTGGCGATTTCTCCTCCTTCTGGTGATTCCTCTACGTGGCTTGTCGATACGGGAGCTTCTCACCACATGACATCTGATCTAAACAATCTCGCTCTTCGTTCTCCTTACAATGGTGGCAATGATGTCATCCTTGGTGATGGATCCGGTCAACCCATCACACACACTGGTTCTTTATCTTTTCCTTCTCTCACTCGTCCTTTTCATCTCAATAATGTTCTTTGTGTTCCATCACTTGATAAGAACCTCATATTTGTGTTTCAACTATGTTCGACTAATGGATTTTCTGTCACTTTTACACCAACTTATTTTCAGGTTCGAGATCTGAATACGGGGGCGCTTCGTTTAGAAGGCCATCCTAAAGATGGAACTTACGAATGGCCTAAACGCAGATCTAGCAAGCCTCCAACGCTTGCTTATGCTTCTGCTGTTAAGGCAACTATGACTGATTGGTATTCTAGATTAGGTCATCCTGCTATTTCTATTCTTCAAAAGACAATTTCAAGTTTTCAGTTACCTTTATCTTCTACTGTTTTGTTGAACACACCATGTAGTGCGTGTTCTATTAATAAAATGCATAAGCTTCCTTTTTCATCTTCTACTCTCATCTCGTCACAACTTCTTGATGTCGTGTTTTCAGATGTATGGACATCACCGGTTATATCGGTTGATAGCTTCAAATATTATGTGATCTTTGTTGATCACTTTATAAGGTATACTTGGTTATATCTTTTAAAAATAAAATTACAAGTCCTTGATACCTTTACACGGTTCAAAGAATTGGTTGAAAATCGGTTTCAATCAAAGCTAAAGACTTTGTACACTGATAATGGATGAGAGTACATTGCCATGGCTGATTTTCTAGCCACCAGCGGCATTTCTCACTTTACTTCTCCTCCTCATACGCCAGAGCATAATGGTATAGCAGAGAGAAAACATCGACATATAGTCGAGACCGGCCTAGCCCTCTTATCTCATGCTTCTATGCCAAAGTTATATTGGACTTATGCATTAGCAACTGCAGTATATCCTATAAATCGGATGCCCACCCCAACCATTTCGTTTCAAAATCCTTTTCAAAAGCTATTTGGGCAGCCACCGAATTTAACAAAACTAAAGGTTTTTAGGTGTTTATGTTTTCCATGGCTTAAGCCATACACCTCTCACAAGCTTGATTCTCGTTCCACTCCGTGTGTTTTTCTAGGATATTCAACAACACAGAGTGCCTATTTTTGTTTAGATCGCAAAACATCTCGCATATACACCTCTAGACATGTTGTTTTTCATGAGTAAGTGTTTCCTTTCTCTATGACTAACAACATCACAAGTGTTTCGATTTCTGTACAGAGTATGCAGATCTTACAATGGCCGATACACCGGTGGTTTCTCTGGTTCAGTCTTCGTCGTTGTTACCTTCAGATACTCCGTTATCTCTCGCACGAGGAGAACCACACGCCATTACTCATACACAAATAACAGAGACGCCACCTGGCCCATCTGCACAACAGGCCCAACAGGCCCAACAATCTACAACATCTTCTCCACCCAATCAGGCCCAACAACAACTTCTTCAGGCCCAACCTCACCAAACTACATCCCCAATTGCAGAAACAGAGTCCTCGATGTTACGATCTGAAACAGAAGAAGTTCTGCCATCCCTGCCGGCTCCACTGCCACGGCAACCAAAACCGTGTTCTCGGCGGGCTCCGTCTTCACCAACACGAAAATCAGAAAGACCCCCAAAACCAATCGATAAACTTAATCTTCGAGCTTCTGTCATTCCTCGATCTGAAGTTGAACCGACAACGGTTGCGGAGGCTCTTAAAGATCCTCGCTGGAGACATGCGATGTGTGTTGAAATTGACAATCAAATACGGGAGCATACTTGGGATTTGACGTCTCCCAATAACGCTTCAAATGTTATCGGATGCAAGTGGGTGTTTACGATTAAGAGGCATGCTGATGAATCCGTCGATAAATTCAAAGCACGCCTTGTGGCTAAAGGCTTCAGTCAACGACCGGGAATAGACTTTCATGAAACGTTTAGCCCAGTTATCAAGCCTGCAACTATCAGACTTGTTCTCGGTGTTTCCGTCTCAAAGAGTTGGACTACTAGGCAGTTTGATGTCAACCATGCCTTCCTTCAAGGACGTTTAGAGGATGAAGTGTACATGGTTCAGCCTCCAGGTTTTGTTAACAAAGATAATCTGCGTGCTGTCTGCAAATTAAACAAAGCGATTTATGGTCTAAAACAAGCTCCGCGGGGTTGGTACAATGAGCTTCGAGCATTTCTCCTGCAATCTGGCTTCAAAAACTCTCTCGCGGATGCCAGTCTTTTTATCTACAACAACAATGGTGTTCTTCTCTATATGCTAGTATATGTGGATGACATTATCCTTACCGGCAACAGTCCACAACACCTCAACTCCTTCATCAGTTCACTATCCACACGCTTCTCCCTTAAAGATCTGGGAAACCTTTCGTATTTTCTTGGTATTGAAGCACTTTACTCTCCTAAAGGTCTTTTACTAACACAGCGTCGTTACATTGCAGATCTTTTACACAAGACAAAGATGATGGATTGTAAACCTGTTCCTACACCTATGTGTTCAACGGTTACACTCACACTCAATGGAGGAGCTCCCACGGAAGATCCATCGCAATACAGAGCCACCGTTGGCAGCCTGCAGTATTTATCTCTCACCCGTCTAGATATATCGTACGCTGTAAATAAGCTGTCACAGTTCATGCACAAACCTACGGAAGAACATTGGCATGCCGTCAAAAGAGTGCTCAGATATCTCTCGGGGACGCAAACACATGGAATCTTTTTCAGCAAAGTCAACACGCCATCGCTTCATGCTTATACCGACACATCAACTGGCGCATGTATAGTATATTATGGAAAGCATCCAATTGCTTGGTCATCTAAGAAACAGAAGGGGGTAGCAAGATCATCGACTGAAGCAGAATATCGCTCTATCACAGCAACTGCATCGGAGGTCTGTTGGATTTCTTCTTTACTCTCAGAGTTGGGTATCAACACCACGACGACTCCTCCAATTTACTGTGACAATATTGGCGCCACTTATCTGGCACATTCCCGAATGAAACACCTTGCCCTCGACTATCACTTTGTGCGCAACCTTGTTCAGTCTGGTCAAGTTCGAGTGGCTCACGTTACTTCCGCCGATCAGCTTGCTGATGCACTCACAAAGCCATTACCAAGGCAACGCTTCACTCAACTATGTGTCAAGATTGGGATCACCTCCGGCTATCCATCTTGAGGGGGCGTATTAGATATAGAAATAATATCAGCATTGACGCCACAGATATCGCTCTCTATCTCTTTCTATCTTCATATTAACTTCTGTATATTCTTCATTCCTTTTATCGATAGCTTTCGTTGTATAAAGGTGATACAAGTCGATGTTAATAAAATCATTCAATCTCATACTTCAATATCTCTCACTTTCTCTACTGCATCATTTCTTCCCTGGGAAACCATAACCATGGATCAATCTTAAAGTTTATATCCAGTTGATATCTTGTCATTCACGGTTTTGACTGAATAGAAGAATCAAAGGATTAGACAGACTTTTCGCAAACATAGTTTAGTTCGTGGCGAGCAAGTTAAATAATGTTTCTCTGATTTTCAGCAATTTTGTTCGCTAACCATGAGAACTTCTGCTTCGGTTTTGTTATCCAGAAATTGCTTAATGTCCCTCGCAGCAAGTCAAATAATGTTTCCAGAAGCGTTCCCTAGTCGTAGATTAGCTCGTCGAGTTGGGTGTCTTAAGTTCACACAAAGTGAACTCAAACCAAATGCAAGTTTCGAGTTACTTCTTCACTAGAGAAACACTGTTCTACATTAAGATACCAAACGACTTCATTTTGATAATTACCCAATCACTTTGGATTGGAATGAGAACACGGTCTAAATCAGTGTATTGTAGACCTAAACAACAATTCGGATCAACTAATAATTCAACTAAAAGCAGCTTCCATGTCTATTGTTCAACTCTAATACAGCGAAAAACATAAACTAGTCACATAAAATCGTTTCTAGGTCTTCAAAAACAAGATTCCAACATAGTTAATTCAAACAAACAAGACTCAAAATGCAATAACCTTCTACAATACAAATACCAAACACATCTTGTGCCGATTCGTTGACTTCAGAGTGAAAAGTTACAATAATTCACAACAATTACAACTTTCCAATTTTGCGTCTGTTTAATAAATAAAAAATATTATCTTTACAACTAAATTTTAATCCTTAAAGAATACTTCGACTCTTGTTACACAAAATCTTTTGTAGGACAAGACAACCAAAAGTCTCTCTTGTTCTAGGTTAATAAACAAGAGACACACTAAAGTTCTAGTGTTGATACGTGTTTTTCTAAAGATCTTTTATGATTTTTTGGAATAGTGAAACTCTCTATTTCTTTTTTTTCTTATTTTCTCTGTTTCTGTTTGTTTTCTATTTATTGTTGTGATTTTGATAATGTCCATAACTCCTTCTATAGAAAACCAAATGTCACTTACAAAATTATAATGGTTGATCACCAACTGTTGCAATGGTTAATCACTGAATATTGTAACCACAAACCCAACAATTACAATGGTTAGTCACCGAAACTTGTAACCATAAACCCAATAATAGCAATGATTCATTTAAATGGTTGCAAATATTCATTTAAGCTGTTGTAACATTTCGTCAATATATGTATATTGAGTAAATATAATAAATCTAATATTTATCATTATATATTTAACAAAAATTATTAAACCATTAGATTGATGTGTTTTTTAGCAATCGAAATAAAAAATCATAATGGTTCGTAAAATCACAATGTTTTAAGTATGTGTATGTTTAGTAAATAAAACAAATATAAAATCTTCACCGCTAAATCTAAAAATAATAACTATTAGATTAAATCTACATCTTTTTAACTATTAAAAATGATGTCAGCAATCATATTCTAACCATTAAATTTTCAAATCAAAACAACCTTAATCGTTAGATTTGTTATTTTTTTCCTACAAAAAATAATGACATCAGCAGTTCTCAAAAAAATATTTTACTATTATATATAGGTTAATGAATTAAATTCATCTTTTAGAAATTACATAAAGATATAAAAAGAATTCTATTAACAGAGTTAACGCTCTGTTAATTTTTTTTGGCAGCACAAATTTAATAGCTAATTTGATGGTTTTAAGTGAAAGTTTTTGTAGTTTGATAGTTAAAAGTGAAAGTGTAAACCTCTGAAGATTTAAAGTGAAAATTTTCTGATTTGAAAGATTTGATCAAAGAGGTATTTGATGACTTCGCAAATTAAAATGTTTTATGGGGAACGAATTCATCACACAATTATAGAGATTTGTGTTTTTTTTTTTGGTCAGGTGAAGAAGACAATCGTCTCCTCCGAATTTATTAAAACCTTAACAAAAAGTTACTACATTCGCACAGACTGTGCTCTTGTAATCCCGTGGGCATCATTCGAAAGTAAAGAAGTAACATCCCCAGGTGGGGACTTTAATATAATGATACCTAAAGGAAGAGAAAAAAACATAGTTTGCTAGTCTGTCTACAAAGTGGTTAGCCTCCTGATACCTATAAGAAACGCGGACAATCCAGTCCTTTGATAAGAAGCAATGGCATAGGTAGATCAGGAAGGACAGTGGATAAGCCTTGCCAATCCCTGCTGTCAGAAAGCCCATCACAACCGCTGAACCAACCTCCAACTCCAGCCACGTAATTCTTCGTTCCCAAACCAAGTACAAGCCGTAATAAACTCCCCACAGTTCTGCCAAAGGAGCTGAGCATATCCCAGTATTCAGAGCAAATCCCATAATCTAGTTTCCTTCTCCATCTCGTAAAACTCCCCCGCCATTGCCACTCTCGGATTACCGTGAGAAGCCCCATCGGTGTTGAGCTTAAACCATCCTACCGTCGGTGGTATCCAAGCTATTTGTCTCTCCACCCGCTCTGTCACAAGAGCCCTTACCCTCACCACAGTGTGCGCCATAGTTACTTCCTTAGCCAGGTCTTTAATAAACTTCACCCTGTCACGACATTTCATGTTTGTGTTAGCTTTAGGCTTTTGGATTTGTTCCTGATTGGTTGGTTTATTAAAGGAATTTTCCGACAAAGTAACTTAGACATAAATACAGTTTGTAATTATTTGTTTGTACTGGACTTTTGGTTTAGCCAAGTTCACTTTAAAGGTTTTAATGGAAAATTTTCATTTACATTACTAGAATCGGTCATCATTGCTTCGGAGACTTGTTTTGGCACCATGTCAAATGCTATCCAGAAATCAGCAATGGCATTGCGGATACTAGTCCAAGGATTCTCCTTTACTTTCATTTCAATTTCAGCCAGTGTTGTTAATCTGATCGAGAGGAAAAAAACCAAAAGATAAAAATATAGGGAACATAATCAGCTAGAGGGAACACAAAAAAGAAATTGAACGACTCTAACAATATTTGAGTCACTGTTCTCTAAAGGGGGAGAAAATCACATGCGATACTAGTCTCTACAGTATACCAGCAATCACAGTCACAACTTTTTCAAAAAAGCAAAAAAGGCATAAACGTTACAAGGCCCAAAAGCTCACAGGGTCCAAACATAAAGACAATCCTAAAACTTCATCTCCTTCCTTTCTCTTGGTGCTCTAAGCCTGTTTTTGGACTCGCGAGCATACGAAGAAAGATTATCTTGTGTTTAGCTTTCTATCAGCTTTCTCGTCTCTTTTTTTTTTAAAATGTACACACCCCAACTCTTTTACCTTCAAAGTTTATGTGCAAGCTACACGGATGAGAGATTTCCAGCAGGTAACTAGTTTCATTTGTTCTATTTAGTTTGATTTCTGTAAGTTTCATAACAAATACTTGTGCAAAAGTGATATGTGAAGTTTCAACAGATCATAAGCCATGAATACTCACTTCATTTTCTTTGTTTTTTTTTTTGCAGTTTCCTCAAGAACTTATTGAGAAACTAGATGCTGCAGAAGCTGAGAAGACTCCTAGAAGATGGATTTGTCTTACTTTGATTCATTGACATATGTGTTAGTTAACATAAACAAAATCAATAAACGCGAGTTTGTAGACTTCCTAAGCCACCGAGAAAGTACCTAATAGGTGATTAACTTTCTTTTCATATTTTCACACATAATGAGCCTACGAGAATTATTGCCTGATTTGATGGGGATTTAAAAAAAAAAAAAATTAAGGAGCCTATGGTTAAGATATCAAAATGGCTGAATGTTCCTTCATCTTCTTGCAGGCATGGTCTTATAAGTAGATTGTGTTATGCTTTTCTTAGTTTTTATTTGTTTCATAATGGCCAAACTGGTTTTCAATTACATTATAAATTTGTAATCTCAGACTTGAAGTAGACCAATTTCGTAGATTACCATTTTTTGCTTATGCTTTACACTCCTTAGCCGGTTGAAGCAAAAAAAAATCTCATTAGGGTCATGGAATCATGTTTTTATTAGACAAACAATGAGCATTTCGATTGAGTTTATAAGATAGGAGGTTTCTTGTATGTTCCTCGTGATTAAGTTATTCTTTGAGTAAGATATTTTCTTGGTTTTCCTCTTTTCATGTAATCATTTTTTGTTTTCGATGGATTATAATCTGACCTCTTTCTTTTGTGAAAAAAAATCTAAACAAGGGATGGTAAACGAGTGAATAATTAGAAGAAAAGCTAGCAAACTATACGAATATCATTGAGTGAGAAAGAGGCAATCTAAAAACCAGATTTAAGTAAAACCCATAAACTTGGGCACATTGGTTGGAGACTTGACAATTTTTTGGACTAAATCTGTTGGTTTAACTTCATCTTTGCAAATAAATCGAAGAGTGAACAGTGAAAAGTGAACAAATGGTCGTGGAAGCAACAAAGCTTGGTATCAAAGTTTCGTTATTACTTAGATCACTTTATTAAAGGGAAAATCGCATAAAAAACCTTCAGAGTGGCAAGCACTGACACTTTAAACCTCTAGAGTATTTAACTCACATTTTTAACCTTCAAATTAATTAACTTCACACATTAAAACTTCAAAGTGTCTCCTGTAGTCGTGCCGACAAATTTTTAAACGATACTGTTAGTACAGATAACGGAATCTATTTTTCCGGCGAGAGTAGTAATTCTCCGATTACGGGAATTGAAACCCAATCTTTTATTTTTACCATGTGACTAATTAAATAAAAACCAGATAAGTAAAAAGAAAATCCCAAATTGATTTGGGGGCTAGGGTTCATAAGAAAACACGATTTTAAACATAATTTCAAACACGATCCTTTTTAAAAGACAACTATAGAGAAGATAAACGGATGCAGTGGAGTCGAAATGAGGTAAGAACGTTTCCAATCAATTAACTAGATGAATTTTCAAATTTCCGAGATTCAAATCGTGATTCTGAGTTTCCTCGTCTGGGTTGTGGATTTTCGAGTTGTAGCCAAAATGCAATTTTCTTGGGTTTGTGAGTATAATCGTGTATCTTTCTAGCTTATTTACCACTTTATTTTTTTCATACACAGTGATGAAACCGAAATCAAAATGAACATCTACTTCAGTGGAAGTATGAAGAAAATGGATGAGGATTATGAGTACATAGGCCGACTTGGTTTCCAAACAAAGACATGAAAAGTTTCTGAGATAAAATGGGAGACATTCGAAGATTTCATTCAAGGGGAAAAAGTCTCGACTCCAATTGCTATAGTTTGGTACAAAGACCCACGAGAGAAGATGAAGAACATTAAGTATGTGTTTCAGAGCAACAATGAGGATATGTTTGAGCTACATTCGGCTGGAAAAGTAATTGGTGAGATAGATGTTTATTTGGAACATGACTGCTCAGAGCATATAGTTGGTGTGACACATTATCTTCCAAGCAGTCAGGGAGAAGATCATAATGAAGGTGATGATGATACTTTTGGTGGGAATGAAAGGGAGTATGATGGTCATGAGAATGATAGTGATGATGGGTATGCGCTTGAGAGGGAAGATGATAGCGATGATGATGTGGATAGACCAAGAGAAGATGAAGAAGGAGAGCAATCCGAGGATGAAGCACCTGCAGAGAAGGAAGCACCTGCAGAGAAGGACGCACCTGCAGAGGAGGAAGCACCTGCAGAGAATGTTTAGATTGATGATGGAGATGATGTTGTCGTAGATGCAGGTGATGGTCGTAATGATGACAGGTTTAAGAATCTGTTTGAGGAAGGTGCAAGGACAAGTGCACATGCTATGGCTGCACTTTGTAGAGATACTGAAGAAAAGGAAGAAGAAGTAAGGGAAGCAGAAGAAAGTGAACAAGAAGATAGGTTAGGGGATGTTGTGTATCCAGATACACCAGTATCGTCAGATGAGGAATGGGGTCAATGGATGAGCAAAAAAAAACGGAGCAGGAAAGTTCAATTCCATGGGGATTTAGATAAGGAGCCTTACTTGTGGCTGTTTCAGAAGTTCAACAGTGGATTAGAGTTTAAGGATCAACTTTTGCGTTATTCACTTAACACTAAGTACGATGCGAAGATGGAAGCGAACAGGATAGCTGCTGTTTGTTGCACAGAGGAATGCTCTTGGAGAGTTTTCTGTTCAGTTGAAGTACCTCGGAATAAGTGGATGGTAAAAGTGTGTAATTACAAGCACAATCATGAAAAATCAAGCAGGGTGTCCATGTTGAAGCAAGGTGTGATTGCTGGACTTTTCAGAGAAGAGTTAAGGACGAATCCAAGCTTACAAGCAATAGAGATAAAGGATACCATAAAGGCAAGGTATAACATTGTTGTACCTATTACGAAGTGCAATAGAGGAAGACGGATTGCTCTGAATACAATTATTGAAGCTCAATCAATTCAGTTTGGCAAATTATGGGATTATGTAGCGGAACTTGAAAGATCACATGAAGGCCTCACGACTGAGTTGTGCACGACAGAGGTGAATGGTATTCCCATCTTTGACGCCTTTTACATATGTTTTAGAGAAATTCGTGAGACTTGGAAGAGATGTTGCAGACCAGTTATTGGCTTAGATGGTTGCTTCTTGAAATGGGAATTAGATGGAGATTTACTTGCAGTAGTTGGTAGAGATGCAGATAACCGAGTGTATCATATAGCATGGACTGTGGTTAAAGGTGAAAACAAAGACACTTGGGGCTGGTTTATAAACAAGTTAAAAGCAAATCTTGGCTTGGGTTTAGGAGAACACTTAACCCTCATATCTGACAAACAAAAGGCAAGTATATTTGATTTGTATTATATATGAATTTGATTTGTGTTTGATAGTTAAGAGGTCTAATAACTTTTGTGATTGACAGGGCCTTGTCTTAGCAATCGAAAAAGAGCTACCTAAAGTTGAGCATCGCATGTGTGCAAGACATATATATGCGAACTGGAAGAAGAATTTCAGCCGATCAGAATATAAAAATCTGTTTTGGGGGGTTGCTCATAGCTACAATGTAGGAGAATATGAAGAAAAAATCACGATGATTTGTAACTATGATCCTGCTGCTTGCGAGGCTTTACTAGCAACAGAACCTGAAAGTAGTGTAGAGCATTTTTCGCAACTGAGTCTTAGTGCCATGATGTACACAACAACTTATCAGAAAGTTTCAATAGAACAATCAAGATAGCGAGATCGAAGCCTGTTCTTAGCATGTTGGAGGATATTCGCAGACAAGCCATGAGAAGGATATCACAGAGGTACCTAAACGCTGAGAACTGTAACACAATTCTCACGCCTGTAACAATGGCCTTATTGGAGAAAGCAAGAGTTGACAACAAGTACTGCTCGGCGATAAGAAGTAGTTCCAATGTGTATGAGGTTGTTGAGTTTGAATGTGGATACACACTTAATTTATCAACTCGCCAATGTGCTTGTAGGCATTGGGATCTCACGAGTATGTGGTTCTTCTTTCTTATCTTGTTGAATCTTAATGTTTTCTTCTTTCTCTTCTTAAGTCTTGGTGTTTTGGGTTTAGGTATACCTTGCAAACATGCAATCTGTGTTCTAGACGACAATGCTCAAAGTCCGGTGAAATATGTATCTGGCTATTACTATGCAAATGTTATGAAGGATACATATAAGAAAAACATAAAACCAGTGAATGGTGAGAAGCTGTGGGTCAAAACATGGAAAACTCCTGTTGGAATTCCTGAGTTTCGCAAGCCGAGAAGGAGACCAAAAAACCGTGACAGAAAAAAGGAGCCTTTTGAAGATCTGAAAAATTCAGGAAAAGCAACTAGGCATGGGCGAACACCTCGTTGTAGTAACTGTCTTCAGATGGGACACATTAAAACCGGCTGTAAGAATGAGAAAGTTGTAGTTGAGGGACCAAAAAACAAACGTGGTAGACCACGAAAACTTCCTAGTGAGGTAAGTGTTTTTCTTCGGATGGTGATAGATAAGATGATGATGATAATAATGATGAATCTGAAACATTTATGGGCTATCGTAAGAATCTGGATGATAATGGCATATTTTCGTTTTGCTGGTGATGATGCTAAGTTGTTTGAGTTTTGTTTCAGGTACTAAAACGTCCTACGAAGCCAAGAAAGAGGAAAACTCCACCTGTTAGTAGCTCTCAACCAGTACTACCCACTGAATCTTCTCAACCAGTACCGCCCACTGAATCTTCTCAACCTCTACAGCCCAGTAAATCAATGTTTTCATATCCTGCTACATCTAGTGCACCTGAGCCAACAACCTCATCAACCCAATCAATAGCACAAGAGAAAAAGCCAAAACGTGGCCGGCCTTTGAAGATTACAAAAACAGGTCCAATTCCTTGGGATGTCGGAACTTTGTGGTGTCCATACACGGATCGAGTCTTTGAGGTGATAAACAATAGGGCATATGATACTAACCCTTCGGCGAGTACACCAGAACCTCCAATATAATGTATTTCTTAATTGTTGGTGAATTATATTTTCTTTTACTGCTTTTATGACTCTCTATTGAACTATGTTTGTTGCTTCTATGACTCTATATTGAGCTATGTTTTGTTACTTTTATGACTCTATGTTGAGCTATGTTTTGTTGCCTCTATGAATGGGAGTTATGTTTTTAATTGATTATGGTTGTTGTCTTCAGTGTTCATATTTTTTAAGTTCCAATAAAAACTACAAAAAATGCAACAAAAATAAAATTATAACAAGAACAACAATATTTAATAACTATTCAAACAAAGCTACAATAAGTTTTAACAACAATTCAAACAACAACCAGAAACGCCCGCAATAAGTTTTAATAAGCACTACAAGAAATTCAATATTAAGTTCCAAGTTTTAACAAGCACTACAAGCCGATTTTTGCTCAAGACTTCTACTTCCACATCACCATCATAGCCCCGAGCACCAGAGTAAATCCAATCGTTGAAGATATCAACACATTACAGTAAATCCTACTCCTCTCGTATAATATCAAGACTTCTCGCTTGAGAGCCTCAGATTCTTCATGAGTTTGTTTTAACTCTTCCTTCAACTCATCCACTAATGCACTTGGATCTTCTATCTTGTTTTCAGCCTCATGAGTCAGAGCTCTTACCGCCTCCCTTAAGTTCTTAATCTCCTCCTTTTGCACTCGCATTATATCTCTAGCCTCCAACAAAGCTAGATATTGCCACCCATGTGGTTTCTCCACATCATACCAACGGAAGAAATTGCATTGCTCATACCCATGACCAACCCGACGACCTTTACAAGCATATAATCTGCGTCCTGGATTGTCATATGTCCAAGCTTGAACAATTTTCGCTGGCCCCTTACAAATACACATGATACCTTTCTCATTCTTGTACTCAATTGTTGAAGAACTTGCGCTATGAGACATCTGCACAAAATTCACAGTTACACATTCATAGTTCATCAGTTCATGAATAAATCAGGAATTCCTCTTCTCTTCGATTTTATTTTCAAATGAAACCTTCAATGTTTCCTAAGAATCGAATCGAACCTATGATTCCAATAAACCTTTTGAATCGAATCAAACCTATGAGAACATACCTTTTCAATTTGTGAAGTCGACCCTTTGAGTAGCAGGAATTCTCATGTTCTGCATTTCTCTTCTCTCTCTGATTTCACGAGCTGCGTTTTTGCTTACGAACCCTAGTCCCTAAATCGATTTGGGATTTTCTTTTTATTTATCTGTTTTTTATTTAATTAGTCACATGGTAAAAATAAAAAAGTAGGTTTCAATTCCCGTAATCGGAGGATTACTACTCTCGCCGGAAAAATAGATTCTGTTATCTGTACTAACGGTGCCGTTTAAAAATTTGTCTGCGTGACTACAGAAGACATTTTGAAGTTTTAATGTGTGAAATTAATTAATTTGAAGATTAAAAGTGTGAGTTAAATACTCTAGAGGTTTAAAGTGTCAGTGTTTGTCATTTGAAGGTTTTTTTATGCGATTTTCCCCTTTATTAAGTGTTATACTCTCTGTTTTGTTTTTTTGTTCCTACTTTCGGATCTTTGCAATAAAGTTCGTTTAGTTTCATTCAATACTATAATTTCTAGATTTATAAAATTCACATAAAAAATATATTGGAAGTCAAATACTGTATTTGTAGAAAACACAAAATATATATAACATCTAGTTCAATTAAAGCAGAAACCATGTAAAACCAGCTTTTCTCTACTCTACATATTCATCAACTTCAATACAGCAAAAACATTAAACCAGCTACACGAAATCATTTGTAGGTCTTTCAAAAACAAGATTCCATAAGAGTTAATTCAAACAAACAAGACTCAAAAAGTGCAACAGTCTTCTACAAAATGAAAATAAATGTTTTACTCAGATAATAAAAGCATAAACCAACTCTTGTAAAGGTGAAGAACTTTGGAACATTATAAAAAAAAAGTAACTCTCAAAAACAACTCTTTGACATTTACCATAATCAGGCTTGATCTTCGGGTTTCTTCTCCTCTGCAGCTTCATTAGTAGAAGCTCCATTAGTCTCTGCTCCTCCTTCAGTGTTGTTCTCCTCAGTTGGCTGAACCTGTTCATCCTCAGGGAGAGGCTCTTCCACATAATCGTTCTCAAAAGCATCAGCAGGAACCTCGTAGATACGAACTTGAGGCTTCGATGGATCCTTAACAAGAACATACTTTCCTTCACTCAGCTTCATACACAGATCAACAATCGACTTCACAATCCCCCACATGTTGGAAGTGTTTAGATTGATCTGCCCTGCGAAATCCTTCGGCTTGTACCCCAAAACCGATAGTATAACATGGTTGAAGTGATCACGAGGATGAACCCTAGAAACGAAACCAATCTTCATCATATCCGCATTAGCCAAGAGAGCCTGTGCGGTCCATTTAGCTAGCTTATTACCATTGTTCTTCAGCTCAGTAGCTAAAACCGCACCTCTCTGAGTCTCTAGCTTCTGTCTCCAATCAACACCAGAGTACTTCGTATCAAACTCGTTAAGAGCATTCAAAGTGAGGAACGATCTCTGGTTATTCAGTTCAACAGTGCTCTGTAACTCACACCTAGCAACTAGATACATACTATCATCAAGCTTCCATCTCCTATACCTATAAGCAATAGAAGCATTCTCTTCACCTTCATTAGCATTAGGGATTGGCTCATCAAAAGATTCCCTTTTACCATTCTTAACCAAAACCTGCTGAGCAAAGTTCTGGTTGATGAGAGCAGCCTCCACGCCTAGAGAATGAGCGGAATTGATATCTTCTTTGGCTTCAGGCAATGGCTCCTGAGAAGTCTCGTGAACCGATAAGAGATCGAGCGGTGACCCATCTCTCTTATCGAAGAAGAGCTTGTTCCCAACACGTTGAATCACAAGATCCCACGAGTAAACCGATCTAGGAGCACACATGAGAGCAGCGAGGATCGCATCGGTGGCGAAAACTGTAGCCTTGTCTTCCTTAGCGAGGCGCCTGATAACAAGATCGTCGCTTGTAGTGACCTTGAAGCTCCTGTTCTTGAAACGCTCGAGCCTACGTTCAGCTTTAGGAGTGATACGATCGTAAGTCCGATCGTATGTCTCGAGACCACCACAGAGGAGGAGATCTTCTGGCTCCTGGACTGTGAAAGAGAGCTTCGAGAAAGTGGAGAAAGGAATCTGCTCCAGCATATTCCACTCGGGCTGGATATCGACGGATGACTTAAACGCGGCGGCTTCACGGCGTTGCTGGTGGATGTTGTTCCGGTTGAGATTGTAGAGACGATCACGACGAGCTCGATCTTTCTCAGCTTCACGTTTCTTCGCTTCGACTTCTTCGTCACGACGCTGAGGGAGCTGATTACGGTTATGGTACTGATTAAATCTCCATTTCGGTCCGAACTTGGGACGAGGCGGTGGCTTGCCGTCGACCAATCGGAAAGCTGCGTCTTCATCGGCGTTTCCACCGGAATTAGCGAGTCCGAATCCTTCGTCTACTGCAAAAGCGGAGAAATCGAAGACTGCAGACGGATCGGATTTAGATCCGGTGGGAGGACGAGCGGAGGGATTGGATAGAGCTCGAGTCCAATCAGCGACGCGTCCTAGCTTCTCCGAACGAGAGAAGGAAGCGAAGGGAACGTTCGGGAGGAGATTCGCCGCCGCGACGCTGGTGGAGGAAGCGGAGGAGGAAGTGTCGGAGGCATCTGGAGGACCCCATCCATCGGAATTGAAAGGAACTGTGCCGACTTCGAATGCTTCGAACACCATTGTAGAGATTTAGCCGAGAAGAAGAAGGAGGTGCGCAAGTGAATACACTATCTTTTGTGTTGTCAACGCGGCGATGAAAACCCTAAATTTGGGAACGACGGTAACACGAGATGGGCTTATAGGCTCTTTCTTATAAAACTGAATCCTAAGCCCTATAGGCCCATTATCTGTCGCACACCCTTAAAATGGTTATGTTTCCACTGAATTCTCAGTCCAATTAGTGGTTTTTGTAAACCGTAGATTTATGGAGGCAATTAGGTGCACGGTTTATAATCGGTTAATGCATTTATTAGACCGTTGCAGTTCAAAATTTGATAAGAAGTAAGTGAATTACGAAATTATCCCCGTCTCGAAACTTATTTTATTTAGATACAAATCCTTGGATTATATACTTCTTTCCATTATTACCCATTTTTTATATTCGTGGTCACTTGAAATCCAACGCTTTATATATACATTTTGTTAATCTCTCTTCTCTTGATCAGAGTAAATTCAAAAAGATCCGTTAGCTCCAATTTCTCGATCCTCTCCTCTTCTCTTCGGTTCTTGATCTTTGAAGTAAGTGCGTGAAGATTGTCGATTTTCTCGAGAAAATTGAAGAGGATTCTGTCGCCATGTGGCGTCGCGAGGATCGTCGTGCTCCGGGCGGAGGTTTCTGGACACCACCACCGACATGGAACCTGAGGAAAAGAGTCTACGCGGCGATGCCGAACTCGGAGAGAAAGAGAACATCTTCGATCGAGAAGCAAGAACCGTTTCACATGATCCACAAAGTTCCTTCCGGCGATTCCCCTTACGTCAGAGCCAAACACGCCCAGGTATCATCAATTTCTGAAATTCCTTTCGATTACTTTTGGTAATTTAGGGTTTATTAGTTCGAACTGCCTGTGACTAATTACTGCTGATGAAAGATTCAGTGATCAATTAGAGGCGAAAATCGGAAATTGAGTGAACTGTTGTTTAGCTTCAGTGAATGTCTCTTGGGTATGTGTAGGAGTGATTGTTCTCCGAATGCTGTTGATGATTTAAGGATCTTATTTCCTGCGACTAGTATCGGTTTGATGAAAGATTCACGAGGTTCTTTCTTTTTGATCCGTTGATGATCACTAAAAGACATCTAGTTTTCAGTAAATTGTCATGCTTGATGTGTAATCAAACGTTTGTTCTGACATTCGAACTATCTTCAAGAACAGTTGATAAGCAAAGACCCAGATCGAGCCATTGCCTTGTTTTGGGCTGCGATTAATGCCGGAGATCGTGTTGATAGCGCATTGAAGGACATGGCAGTTGTTATGAAACAATTAAACCGATCCGACGAAGGAATCGAAGCGATCAAATCTTTCCGGTATCTCTGCCCTTTCGAATCCCAAGATTCCATTGATAACTTGCTACTTGAGCTCTATAAGGTAAACAAAAGAAACTCTTGATCTGATGAATGATTCCGAACTTCAGCTTTATAATGGATATGGCTTTTTTCTCAGAAGTCAGGGAGGATTCAAGAAGAAGCTGAGCTGCTTGAACACAAACTGAAATCACTTGAACAAGACACGAATCACAGTGTCTCGAAAAGATGCCACGGGAAGCAAATCAACATGACAATCGAGCAAGAGAAAGCACGGTAATAAGAAGTTTTCTGCATCCCTTTCACCTTAAAAGAGAAGTTTCTCTGAGTTTTCTTGCTTGTTTATGATATACAGGATTCTAGGGAACTTAGCTTGGGTTCAGTTACAACTTCACAACTATGGAATCGCTGAGAAACATTACAGGTTTGTGAATCATTTATCAATCCCCATTAACGCATCTCAGTGGTTTTTTTTTTCATTGCCTAAACAAGTTAAACGGGATATACTGTGAACAGGAAAGCTTTGTCTTTGGAGCCTGACAATAACAAGCAGTGCAATCTTGCCATCTGCTTGATGCGTATGGACAGGATCACAGAAGCTAAATCTCTACTTGATGACGTAAGACAGTCTCTGCGGAATCAAAAATCGAAGGACGAACCGTTTCACAAGTCTTTCGAACGTGCTACAGAGATGTTAGCGGAGAGAGAAGGAACCATCAAAGTAGTAGCGGATAAACCAATTCCAAAAGTTCTTATGAAAAGTAGCTCTTCTGATAACTTCTCTCCGAGCCGTTCGTCTGCGAGCTGGACGAATGAAAAGCATGGTCCTGAAGTAGGAAACACGTACAAGAAGGACTCCTCGCGTGTTTGCTTTGAATCGCCGATTCTGATTTCACAGCCACGGGAGTGTAAATGGGGAGATGAGGAGGAAGTGACAACACTTGCTGCTGCTCGAAGGCTAAGGTTTTACGAGAAGAAGGAGACGACGAGTGTGGAGTCTGTAGAGTCGGGTACTAATGGACCTTGCATAACAAGCAAGCTAAGGAAGATGTGTGAAGATTTAGTCAAAGAGGATGCTTCAGGATCATCTTCAGCTTATGCTCAGATCATGGACATTGTTCAAAGAACCGTGTAGGCTTTTGACACTAAAGTTACTAAAGGATTGTATAGTTTGGAGAAATTTTAAGAAATGATTTCGTGTATTGGATTTTATAATTTCGAAATGAAAAAAGATTTGAGAATATATATATATATATATATGTGACAAAAGCTTGAAAGAACAAAGATGAAAATGTGATAACCCTTGAAAGAACAAAAGAAATATTTTTCCCACCGACAAAAACAATAAGCAGTACACGCAAAAGTTTTCAACACTCGATAACGAATTTGGGTTTCATCAACACACATAAACGGGAAAGAAAAAGAAAAAAAAGAGAGTTAAAGAGAGAAAAGGAAAAACGAAGGATGAGGTGAAGAAGAAAGTAACTGCAGCTTACACAGTTTATGAATCAGACGAAGCCACCACCATTGACGACATCTTAAGCCTCATCGTACTCCTCTTCTTCCTCGTACTCCTCTTCACCAGCTGTAGCATCCTGGTACTGCTGATACTCGGCGACAAGATCGTTCATGTTGCTCTCTGCTTCGGTGAACTCCATCTCGTCCATGCCTTCTCCTGTGTACCAATGAAGGAAAGCCTTTCTCCTGAACATAGCTGTGAACTGCTCGCTGACACGCCTGAACATCTCCTGGATTGAAGTTGAGTTACCGATGAAAGTCGACGCCATTTTCAGACCCTTTGGTGCGATGTCACAGACGCTGGACTTGACGTTGTTTGGGATCCATTCCACGAAGTAGGACGAGTTCTTGTTCTGGATGTTCATCATCTGCTCATCGACCTCTTTCGTGCTAAGCTTTCCACGGAACACGGCGGATGCGGTTAGGTAACGTCCGTGGCGTGGGTCAGCGGCGCACATCATGTTCTTTGCATCCCACATCTGCTGGGTAAGTTCAGGGACGCTCAAGGCACTGTACTGTTGTGACCCTCTTGATGTCAGTGGTGCAAAACCAACCATGAAGAAGTGGAGCCTTGGGAACGGGATCAGGTTCACAGCGAGCTTCCTGAGGTCGGAGTTTAGTTGACCAGGGAAACGGAGACAGCAAGTGACACCACTCATTGTAGCTGAGATGAGATGGTTAAGGTCACCAACTAGCACAAAGGAAAGAAAACAAGTCAGGACTCAATCACATTACATGAATCTGACAAGTATTTGTTTGATTCTCAGAGATAAACATGTATTATAAACGAGAGATAGAGGAGAGATTGATATAGTTTACTCACATGTGGGATTAGCAAGCTTGAGGGTACGGAAGCAGATATCGTAGAGAGCTTCATTGTCCAAAACCATACACTCGTCAGCGTTTTCCACGAGCTGATGCACAGAGAGAGTTGCATTGTATGGCTCAACAACAGTGTCAGAGACCTTAGGAGAAGGGAACACTGAGAAGGTCATCATCATACGGTCTGGGTACTCCTCTCTGATCTTGGAAATGAGAAGAGTTCCCATTCCAGATCCAGTTCCTCCACCCAAAGAATGACAAACTTGGAAACCTAGAATCAAGAGCAAAACCATGTATCAGAGAAGATAATCGCATCACCAAATCTGTAAAATGTAAGAGACGAACGTGTTCCATTTTCTCAAACATAATACTCATCAACGAAGACCTAGATTGATTTTTTTTATTCTGGTTCCATGATTGAAAGCAATATCAGAAAAATCCAAAGCGATAGGTAAGGACTATCTCAGGTATCAAACAAATCTCGCACGACGATGAAGCTTTGATAATATTCAAAAACCAGATCGAGATTCAAAAACCATACGAGAAGAAGAAACCGAAAAATGAAATGCGAGATCGCTCACCTTGTAGACAATCGCTGTTCTCAGCCTCCTTCCTCACAACGTCAAGCACCGAATCAATCAACTCCGCTCCCTCCGTGTAATGGCCCTTCGCCCAGTTGTTTCCGGCGCCGGACTGCCCAAAGACGAAGTTATCCGGACGGAAAATCTGGCCGAACGGTCCAGATCTGAGCGAATCCATGGTACCAGGCTCCAGATCCATGAGAACGGCGCGAGGAACGTACTTCCCGCCGCTCGCTTCGTTGAAATACACATCGATCCGCTCAAGCTGTAGAGGAGAGTCGCCGACGTACTGGCCGGTGTGATCAATGCCGTGCTCGTCGCAGATCACTTCCCAGAACTTTGCTCCGATCTGGTTTCCACATTGGCCACCTTGGATATGGAGGATTTCTCTCATTTTTCTCCTTTAGGTTTGTTTCTCTGGAAAAAAAAAAGTAGAAAATGAGAAAATGGGCGACTCGTCTTTTATTTTTGTCCTTTGCTCAAATAGGTTTAAAAGAAAAGGGATTGTTGAAAAGGGTAATAATCAGCTATATATAGTTTAGGTCTTCTTCAATAAGTTTTTCCGATATTTATTTGCAAATAAGCCCTTATACTTGTTTTGATCTTTCGGTTGTACCCTAATTTGTTAATATATTTCTTTTTCGTACTCTGTGCTGTATGACAGGGTGGATTTCAAATTATATCTGGCCCACTTGTCCAGAGATATTTTGCTATTTATTTAAGCATTAAAACAAAATTATAATCAATCATACTCGTGAACAGAAAATAAAGAAAATTAGTTTTTCCACATTTATACATTTGTAACGTTATGCCAGTTACATTGTTTCGAGTTTCGACAAATTGAAGTTATTGAAGGCAAATAATAGATCCAAGGTACAGAATTTTGAATATTTAAATTTATACATTCCAATCTGTTAGGCTAAAATGATCTGCCGAACCGGTTTTGTTATTTTTCTATTTAAGATAAACCGGTTTTGTTCATATACAACGAGTTTTGACTGTGCTGCAAGATAAACCGGTTTTGTTCATATACAACGAGTTTTGACTGTGCTGCAAGACAGATGATACAGGAGTGGTGTAAGGGCCGGCTTAAATAAAAGTTGGGCCCTCTATATAATTTTAAAGGCCCATCATTCTCCGAATAACAAGACCAATATTATGTTGTCAAAGTGTCAATTAAATGATCAAGGACCCCCCATATTCAGAATTCTTAAACCTAATTTATCCAAATTATTCTCGACTTTTTAAGCATTTTTTTGAAAATATAAGACACTTTATAAATCAACACAACAAAGCCTCTCCATAGCTTGACACCTCAGCTTTTTGAAGCTTTATAAACATGACATCTCAGCAAAAATAATACCAATCAAAACATTTTATTAATATATTTCATTTATTTATTTAAAATTTTAAACTTAAACTCATTAAAAATTCAAATATTTCTTCTATTAATTTTCGTTTTATTTTTTATCAAACGCAAGCTCAAATAATTAATAACAGCAAATAAAAAATCAATATTTTATTTTTTGCCAAATTCATACCCAAATAAAAAATAAAAAAATAAAAAAATTAAATCATTGTTTTCTTTTTTTGTCAAAACCAAATTCAAATAATAAATAACAAATAAATAATAAAAAAAATCTAGCTATCTGTTTGTCTGACATAGAAGTATATGATTGAAAAAGTGTAGGCTCAGCATCAATTATGCTTCCATGACAACAACACAAAAAGCCTAATGTTATAAAAAGCTCACACATCAGCAAAAATTTGAACCGATAAAAATATAAAAATTTCTTAGTTTTCGCGAGAAACCCCAATTTCACGGGAGATAATGCAATTTTTGGTTTAGTAGAAAATTATAGTTTATTTGTTTTCGTAGGAAAACGTGATTCTGGGTTTGACGAGAAAATGTTTTTGTTTTTGTTTTTGTTTTGACAAGCATAGAAGATTTCTCAGTTTTCATAAGAAAAATAAATTTTTCGATTTTGGCGGGAAAATACAATTTTTTTTGGTTATTACAGGAAGATGAATTTTTTTGGTTTTTGTGAAAAAACGTAATTTCTCGGCTTTGGTAAAAAAACACAGGTTCTCGCAAGAAAATGAAATTTTAGTTTTTAGGTTTGACGAGAAAATAAATTTTTTGGTTTTGGCAGGAATAAGCGATTTCTCAGTTTAATGAGAAAATGTTTTTTTTTTTTACGGGAAATGCGATTTCTCGAATTTCGTAAGAAGATGAAATTTCTCTGTGCTAAATTTTCAAGTTAAAGTATGTTTACAGTAACCAAAATTTAATTTTTTAATTTTAACTAAAACGATATTTTAAGAGTTCAAACATAATTTTCTATTTAATTCTAAAGCAATAGCAATGATTTTGATATGAATGTTATTGATTATAGTTTGGTAGTTTTAAAAACATATGTTTATAATAAAATATTTGATAAATAAATAAATTTTATAATTCAAAATAATCATATTAGTTAATAAATCTTTTTTTAAAATAGCATTTTGCTTTATATAATTACAAAAGAAGATCAAATGGTAATTTATTGGAGAAAATAGATTACATGTACCATTAGCATGAATGTACTAAAAATGTATTGCTTTATTCTTATATATTTTATTCCTATATATACAATTATAATTAATTAGCTAACTAAATTCAATAGCAAATTATAATTTTGAAAAAAATATAAAAAAATATAATATTTATTCAGATATAAAACATATAAATACACAACTTAAGCTAATAAAAAATAAATATAATATTTATTTACATTATAAAAATAATTTTATTATATTAAAAATATATACAAAATTTAGAAAAAATATATATATACAAAATTTAAAAAAATATCCTGCAGCATAGTGCGGGTAAATACCTAATATTTGTAACACATTTAGCACTTCTTTAGTTAGTGGTGTACCGGTAATATGAGGGGTGGATGTTGAAATTGTTTATAACATATAAGAAAATATATTAAAAAAAAACATTCTTACAATTCGTAATTAACTTTAAAATAAACTATGTATTATATAATTATAATACCAAAAATCGATCGATTTAGGGCCAAAAGGGGGAAATGGGTTAGGCTAGTGGCACCACTAATATGCTTCCACCCCACCATGTCTGAGGTTCAAACCCTAGGATCCTTGTAACAGGAGTGAAATAATCTTATGTCCCAAAGTTGTAAAGAACATATGTAAAAAAGCTCTTGACCAAAAAACATTATGTACACATAATACAGTGAGCCAGGTTACGAGAACATAATGAAACTTTTAATTTTCGGATAGAAACAAAAGAAGAGAGAGCAATTATATGAACACAAACGTCTAATTACATTTCCACAAAGACAGTATGTGCATATAATTGTCTTTTTTCTATATATTGGAGACGTGGAGGTGCAGAATCAAAGGACTTACTGATATTTACACACAAAAATAAACAATTATATGCACATAGTGTCACAGTGTCTTTTACTGGTACCAAAATGTTAAAGTGGAAACTTGAAAATTTAATGCTAAATAAAAATTATCACCATAAAGTGTCATTTATATATTTCACAACATTAATACATTATTCTATACACTATCTTTAGCAATAAGGGCCAAGAATACATACATTTTCAGCGATTTAATGCAATTATTTTTTTGTTTTTTTGACATCCATTTAATGCAATTATTTAGGCATTTGATTAGCAACAAAAACTATATATATATGAACCCACAAAAGTTGCTTATTGTATATTCATTCATATCAATGAGTCTAAAGTGATTAATTTTAATATTGGTGTACTCTTAAATTACGGCTAATATACCGCACTAAACCAAACAAATCGATGAACAAAACAAACTCTTTAATTAATTCAAGTCAGGCAACAAAACAAAAAAAAAATCTCTACTGAACTACTTTCAACTTTTAAAATAATTTTCTATATTGCAAAGTTGCAAACTTCTTTTCATTTCATAAAAACTAAAGTAACACAAAACTTCTTTATACTAATTAATTTTTAACTCGGTTTAAAACTATTTCATACTTATTTTATATTTATCTCTTTCCGTCTTTTCTCCAATTACTCATCATTTAGCTCGTGTTTTAAATTCACTCAAAAAAGCAACCTTTCGCCTTCACTTTCCGAGAACCTCCTCCTTCACTCTCCATGTATTTATTGCTTCGACCTGTCAACAAAATTTCATCAGTCTCATCTCTTCAAAAAAAAACCAAAATCGTTTAGTCTTCCAAAGATCCTTTTTTCCTATTTTGGGTTTGTCTCTTCCGTACAACGACATGTCTCTACCATGGAAAAAATCGGGACGAATCTCGAGATTCATGTCGGAATTTCAGATTTCTCCGAAACGTGGCGGATCTTTGGTCGTCGAAACTGGCTTTCCGACTTCTCTAATCGATCTTTTCGTCAAAAATCGTGATCGTCTTAAGAAATCATCCTCTAAACGCCTCCAACGCAAGAACCAAAGCGCCCCAAACGTTTCTTTGCCAATTAATCATGATGTGATTCTGGAAAAGCCCGTGGCGAGAAATACCGTTCGGAGTAAAAACGCTAAAGTTAATTTCGTCGGCGTTGGATCAACGACGGAAAAGAAGCACGCAAATGACAAAAACGGTTGCGCCGGCGGTGACAGCGCGTTCGTTTTGATGGCGTTTAAAGTTTTGATAGTGGCGGTGCTCGCCTTGAGCACGAAGAAGAAGCTCACCA